AGAATGCAGCTTCCGCCCTTGTCGCCCAGGTTAGCCCTTGGTGGTATCTACTCGCTGTATACCTGTGCTCCCCATGCTGCACACGTACAACTGAATGCCTTCACCTTCTTCTACCACAGCAGCCACAAGCACCACGCACTCCCAGAACCTTGCTGCTTCTCTCCCTCTTGCCTTCTCCTTGGAATCTAGGAAATTCTGGTTGTGGGGAGGGTGTGTGTGTAAAACACATATTTATCTGTGTGTATAAAATGCAGTATATATAATGCAGCAACCCATTAAGATTGTATATACTCAAAAATAACAACGCTTTTGATGTAAACATTAGCTAAATCCTTATACAGAATCTTGGAAGGTACCTGCCTTCAAAGAGGGACCATTTCAAACCAGAAACCATATGCAGGTGAAAAGTACAAATATTCGATGGTGAAGCCTGACAACAGCACTTCCCTCTGCGACTGCAAGAGGGCATGCAACCAGTGGCTGTTTATATTCCCCAGGGAAGTAGAAGGGATTCACTGCACGACCTTGAGAATTTATCTGGAGAAAGGCAGTCTAAAAAAATATCATCATTTACAGGTATTACCTTAGTTTCTGTTTATTCAGTAAGAATCAAAACATAATACAGAAGAAAATGTTCAATTTAAAGGAAGCAAATGTTTTTATTTCACAAAGAAATGATCCTAACATGACTACCAGTTAGAGAAGTCTGTAAAGTTTGGAACCTGGCAAAATTTTGATTTCAGAAAATTAAGCACTTATTATACTATCATTTATAAGCCTTATTTAAATATACTCTTCAGAAAGGAAAACCTATTCCAAAATCAGAAAGTCATGCAAGCTACTGGAAAAAATGAATTACAGCAGGCCACCCTCATCTACACAAGATATGTCCCAAGAACTCCAGTGGATGTCAAAAACTCAGTACTATGTGTTTTCCTATCCATATACACCTATGATAAAGTTTAGTTTACAAATTAGGTATAGTAATAGATGAATAACAATAGAACAATTATAACAAAACACTATAATAAAAGTCATGTGAATGTGGTCTCTCTCTTAAAATATGTTATACTGTTCTTAACTGTTTTAGGTGTGAGGTTGGCTATAGGTAACTGAGCAGAAAGGGAAGCTGTGGAGAAAGGGGGGCTCCAGTACTGGGCTATAATGGTGAACCTAGAGTTTTATTATTAACTACGACATGACACTGTAAAAAATGTGGTTTCACACCTGTCTCAAATGCCCACATTTAAAAATTAGACCTACATAACTTTCCATACAATGTATTCACATAATTAGTGAACACCAGGGATGGGAAGTTATTCCCTAATGAGGTTATTCCCTTGGTTCAACTGTCAGATGAAGAATATTTAGCATAAGAAATCACCAATATGAGCAAATGTGGCATTTTTTGTATTTTAAATAAATCCCTTGGTTCAACTGTCAGATGAAGAATATTTAGCATAAGAAATCACCAATATGAGCAAATGTGGCATTTTTTGTATTTTAAATAATGAACAGGAAAAAAAGAAAAAATATTCCAAACAAAGCTTCTTAGGTCTCAGTTTGGTACCAAAACTCTAGATTTAGTGTGGCCCCTACAAAGAGCTCTCTTCTCTGATAACAATGCATCCATCACATGCACACATGTAAGTTGGTCATACACACACATACTAAGAAACACAGACATTACAAAAATGGGAATTCTAGGTAGAACAAAGTGAGGGTCCACATTTCTAAACATGTAACGCTGGTCCTTCTGAGCCTCCTCTGCCACTGCTGGCTCTCAGGCCCATACTCCAAGCCACGCCTTCCTATGGACTTAAAAAAGGCAATAGCTGCTGTAAGATGAACTACTACCAAAAGACGACATTGAAGACACTCAAAAATACATGAAACTCACTCCCAGAAGTCACCTGAAGAGGATTTTGATATCCACAAACCCTATCTTTTCAGTATAATTTCCTTATGCTGGGTTAACTCTGAAAAATCCACAAAGAGAAATACCTGAAAAGTAAAAATTCATTCATCTGCACTTTTAATATGGCAATTCAAAATTGGACCAAAATTCACATTTAAACGGGTATTCACATAAGAAATAAAGCAAGCCACTTGACTGCTAGGAAAGACTGGTCTTAAGAAAGGTGCCCACCTGGGCCAGGCTCCAGGCCTAATGATCTGTTCCACTCACCCCTCCCCTGGCAAAGGTGAGCAATGATGTCATCCTTCCTCTGCCCTGGCTCAAGGGTCCTCCTGGAAGGTCCACTGGAGCCACCTCTGGCCTCTCAAGCCAGCGTCACTCTCACTGGTCCCTAGGAGAAGGAATTCTCCAACTGGTGAGGGCCAGAACAGATCTGAGCTGGGAGCCTGGATTCAGCCTGCCCCAGCCTCAGGTCTCTGGGTAGGTTCCAGCAGGGCAGTGCCACGCTGTCCAACTGAGTCACAGACGGAACTGTATTTCCTAATGGCTGCGTCTGTAAAGCTGACACCTATACCCCCTCAGCCTAACAGCAGTGTCACGCTCTCAGCTGGCTCTGCACATGTTAAAGGATGTCATTTATTTGTACCCTACCCGCTTAATATCCCAACAATACTTATTTTGGGGGGTTATGGTGAGAACTGACATCATGAACAAAAAGCACTTGATACAGTAGCCAGAACACAATAAGCGGCCAAAAAAAATCATGCCTAAGTTGATTTTATTATTATAATAAAAATGCTGCTTTTTATTATCATTATTAGCAACCACAAAGTATAGCAAGAATGAGATACCACCTCACACTAAGCAGGATGGCTATTATCAAAAACACAGAAAACAAGTCGGTGGGGATGTGGAGAGAACAGAACCCTTGCGCACTGCTGGTGCGAATGTGAAATGGGGCGGTCGCTATGGAAAAGAGGATGACGCTTCCTCGAAAATTAAATATACAACTACCATCTGATCTAGCAATTCTATTTCTGGGTATACACTGAAAAGAAATAAAAAGACTTGAACAGATACTTATACAACCATGTTCTTAGTAGCATTATTCACAATACCCAAGGGGGGCAAGAAACTCGAGTTTCCATCCACAGATGAATAAATAAAATACAGTATATACGTACAATGGAATATTATCCAGCCTTAAAAAAGAAAGTATTAATAATTCTGTCACATGCTACAACATAGATGAACCTTGAGCACATATGGTAAGTGAAATAAGCCAGTCACAAAAGGATGAGTACTGTATGATTCCACTTATATGAGATCCCCAGAGTAGCCAAATTCATAGATAGAGAGAACTCCCAGGGGCTAGAGAGGTGAATGGGGAGTTAGTGTTTAATGGGGACAGATTTCAGTTTGGGAAGATGAAAAATTCTGGAGATAGATGATGGTGAGGGTTATACAACAATGTGAATATACTTAATGCCACTGAACTGTGCACTTAAAAATGGTTAAAATGGTCGGTTGTATGTTCTGTATGTACATGTTTATATACAACTAAAAAAAAAGTGTGTATTGTTCCTAAAAAGTCCAATACCAAAGAACTTTACAAAAAAGGGCTGCCTGCTACCTTATTAAAATATTCATTTTTTGATGTCCCTGGTGAGAAAATATTTTATATCAAAATTGTCATATTCACATTTATAAATTTTTTTCCTGCTACCTTAAAAAAATAAAATAGCAGCAATTAACATTCATCGAGCTCCTACTCTGTGACAGGCACCATAGAACATGCATGCCATACAAACCTTAACAACCCCCACAAGACCTCAAGAGGTGAGGAATCATCATCCTCATTTCACATCTCAAACACCTGTGACTCTGAGGCTAACTCACCCAAGCCCCAAGGCAGAGATACAGTTTTAAACACACTTTTTCCACACTTCCCTATTTATCTGTTATTCTCTATAAAATTGCTCTTTTCCCCCAGGACAATCAGAGAAACTATATTACCCAATAGTATCTTTCAAATATGGAGCAACATGTAAGTAAAGTTATGACATTCATTTAACAAATCCCAACAGCCCCTCCATCCACTCACGCTCCTCCCCTTTATGACACTATTTTTGAAATTGCATCTTACTTTTCCATCTCCTAAGAGCGCATCCAACCAAGGTCAATATATAGCAAATTCAAACAAATGAATAAATAAATCCAATGTAAGCTCCTTAAAGGCAAGAACTATATAGTTATATTTATAAAAACCAGCAGTCTTTGCAGAGTTTCTTCAGCAAAGTTTCTACAGCAATAAATAATGCTGATTCATGGAATGAGGAATGGTTGAGCAATACTTGTGTTCAGGGAAATCAAGAGTATACATTCTATAACATATATTTGCTGTAATAGTCTATTATTCTGTAAATACAGAGAACATCTGATCTGGCTGGGCATTCAAATCACCAGCTTTACAGAATTTTCACAGCCATATCCTTGTAACATAAGTCACAAACTGCAATCCTCTGAGAGAACTTGCAATTTCACAATGTGAATGACAGCTAAGCGGCAATAAAAGCATGCCAAAGATTGCTGTTCTCCTTCTGGAAGGATCATTTTTATAAAGTCAGTAAAAACAATGTTAAACAACTACAGGAAATATAATGAAAGTGACACACTTTAAAATTAGTACAAAGAAAATTACTTAACTGGATATGATTGGCAAAAGTACCCACAGTAATAAAAATTAAATACAACCTGAATATTACAAACTCCAAGTTCTAACACTAGTTCTAAAAAAGGATAAATTTTATTTCAATATAAAAGTATAACTGCAACAATAAAAACTAACAGATTTGAGGTGTTTCTCTTTGCACCTAAAAAATGTTTCCATGGAAGAAAACACCCTGACCCCAGCACCCAAATATGGGAATAAGGTGAAAATCAATGCCCTCCAACGAGAACTTTAGCATTAAGACCACGTCATCTACACAAGTTCAAGTAGAAAACAAACTATGCTGAGCTCATCTCTTTCTTTCTGCTCCTCCTCATCCATTCCACCCACAGGCCAGGCTTGGCCACTTACCGCTGGCCTTGATCTCGCGCACGTAGTTGCTGGGGAACCAGCCTGTCCGGCCACCATGTGTGCCCTCCCACCAGCCTCCCTCCTCCACTCGGGTGACATGAATGACATCCCCCTTTGAGAAGGAGAGCTCGTCCTCATTGGTCTGCTGGAAGTTAAACTTCGCTCTCACTACCAGTTGATTGTTGCTATGATCGGTCATGTCCTAAAAGAGGGAGAGGAATGGGAGAAAAGTTACACAATGCAGAGTAGCAGATCCATGTTTACAGTATGGCAGTTCCTCGCCCAGTGCACCGTGAGTACCCACCCTGTTCCACCCTCAAGAGGACATCCTCTTGATGCTTTAGAAGGTCTTGCTCTGCACTGTTCTGCCTATATAAACATACACACACTTTCACATACATTTACATGGAATTATATAATACATATTTCTCTACAAGTTATGAAAAGTTCCTGCAGTACTTATCGTTCCTTAAATAACTGCGTAATATTATACTGTATGAATGTACCATTAATTATTGAATCAGCTCTCCATTAATGGATCTTCAGGTTACTTCCAACATTTTACCATATGCCATGTACAGTATTTTGTAAAACAAGGCTACATTAAAAATATCTGTATATTTATCTTTGAACATACCTGTAAATAAGTCTATACATTAACTTCAGGTCAGAAAACACAGAAGATAACATTTTTAAATTTTCACATATATCTCTAAACTGTCCTCCAAAAAGGTTCTACAAATGTACACCCAGCAACATTCTCACCAATAGTATCTTAAGAGTTCTTATTTCATCAAATTTTCACCAACACTAGATATTGCCAAAGATATTTATTTGTGCTAAACTGAGGGGAAGAAATGGTGCCCTATATTTTAATTTGTAGTTTTCTCAGAGACTGAGCATATTTCCAGATCTCTCAGAGGTGGGAAGAGGTAAGCAGACCAGGCAACGGTTTCCTTTTGATTTCCACCTACCCTGGACTGGGCTCTGAGGAGTCTGGCAACCCAAAGCTGCTGAAGGGGGCAGACCAAAAGAAATCCCAGAAGCTTGCCCTTGCTGGCCACAGGGTGAGAAAGGCAGTCCAGCATTTCCCCACCTCCACCCAGCCACAGGGAGGACCTTGGCCCAGCGTCTCCCCACCTCACCCAGCCACAGGGAGGACCCAGGCCCAGGTCTCCCCACCTCACCCAGCCACAGGGAGGACCCAGGCCCAGCGTCTCCCCACCTCACCCAGCCACAGGGAGGACCCAGGCCCAGCGTCTCCCCACCTCCACCCAGCCACAGGGAGGACCTTGGCCCAGCGTCTCCCCACCTCACCCAGCCACAGGGAGGACCCAGGCCCAGGTCTCCCCACCTCACCCAGCCACAGGGAGGACCCAGGCCCAGCGTCTCCCCACCTCACCCAGCCACAGGGAGGACCCAGGCCCAGCGTCTCCCCACCTCACCCAGCCACAGGGAGGACCCAGGCCCAGCATCTCCCCACCTCCACCCAGCCACAGGGAGGACCCAGGCCCAGCATCTCCCCACCTCCACCCAGCCACAGGGAGGACCCAGGCCCAGCGTCTCCCCACCTCACCCAGCCACAGGGAGGACCCAGGCCCAGCGTCTCCCCACCTCACCCAGCCACAGGGAGGACCCAGGCCCAGCGTCTCCCCACCTCACCCAGCCACAGGGAGGACCCAGGCCCAGAATTTGACACACACCCTCTCCTACACTATCAGGCTCATCATCACTTCTCCCCATCCAGCAACAGCAGGCTCCATGATGGCAGCAGCCAAATCCCAGCAGGAACTAGGTCCACACCAGGTGGATGAAGATGAGTAGACACCACCACAAGGCCTTGGAAATTAAGCAGTCACTTGGAGTAAAGCCAACTAATACCTAACAACAGCCATAACTGTGGCACAAAACCTAACTGTGCTATAGCCTGATAAGACAGAGACTGAATCAAGGTCCAACATTCTTCCAAGTTCTAGAATAAATCAAAAACATTCCTCATCCGATAAACAGGAAAATCACAACTTGAATGAAGAGAGACAATCAACCAATGCCAATACCAAAATGAAATGAAGCAGATGTGGAAATCACTGAAAATGGTTTTCAAGCAGCCATCATAAAAAGGCTTCAAGAAACAATTACAAGTTCTCTAGAAACCAACAAAAAGAAAAATCAAAAACCTCAAAAAAAATAGAACTTATAAAATTTACACAAATTCAACAACAAAGAGAAAGCAGACTGAAAAAATTAAGCAGAACCCCAGGTACTTGTAAGAAGTAGTGAAAGATCTATCACTACTATCACTAGCCTCTGAAGCAGAATTTGAGAAGGAGGGCAAGACTAAAAAGCAGCACAAAGAAATATGGTTGAAAATGCCCCAAACTGGGCAAAAGACATAAGTATATTGATTCAGGAACCTGAGCAAACTTCAAGTAGTATAAACTTAAAGAAATTCAGACCAAGTCATACCATAATTAAACTTCTGAAAACTGAAGAAACAAAGAATCTTAGTATTACAATACAATAGACATCTGCATAATACAAGATCTCAATAAATTTACCTCCCATGCACCCTGTCTCAAGGAGTTAGAGAAAAATGTGCTCCTATAAAATAAGGGGATTAATGAAGATAAAAATGAAAGCATGGAGAAAGAGGTAAAGGAGACCTACACGGGTCAGAGGGAGTCTCCGAGGTGAGGAGGAAGGAATCTCATAGACAACAGCTGTACAAGAGCCTGGATCACAACCAAGAGAGTTTAAACTAGGTCACAAGGCTTCAAGAGCATTCTTGGGAAGATGAAAGTAAAAAAATACCTAAAATGTTTGAATGTACTGAGATTCTTAGAAATAGGCAAAAGACCAGGTCTACAACCTACAAAAGTTGTTGATAGAAAAGTAAATAAATGATAATTACTAATTCCAGAAAACAAAGTATTAGGAAAGGAAGAAGACTCAAAGTGTGTGTGTGTGTCTGTGTGTGTCTGTGTGTGTCTGTGTGTGTGTGTGTGTGTGTGTGTGTGTGTGTGTGTGTGTATCATGGCTCTGCTATGAATATTATTTACCTAGTCATAATACTGTGATCCTAAACCTTGGTCTAACTCAAAACATGGTGGAAACTGGCCATGGGGAAAGTGGGACTAGAAGGCAGGGCCCCACGAGGGAAGAGCACTAGCCCCTCCTCCACTGCGGGCCCACTGATCACACTCCAAATTAAGCAAAAAAAAAACAAAAAAAAAAAAAAAAAAAAAAACAAGAAGAGGCATTTAGAGACACACAGGTAAATACCTAGAAAGAATCAATGGGAAAAAAATCAAAAGTGCTTGTCTTCATTGTTTTATTTCCTAATAGCAAGAAATTCCTTGATTCTAAACTATGGGCATGTGTAACTAACTAAATAAGAAGAAAAAGCATCAGTGATGGGGCTTACTGAAGATCCTCAATAAGGAGAAGTTGACAACGTTACTCTCAAATATGTAATACTTACTATCTAGTTAAGTGTGTTTACAGATGAATATTAATTACAAATTGAATGAAATTAAATATTTCACACATGTTTAAGATTTAATGAAGAAATCTCTCTTCAATGCCTGGAATGAAAGTTCCAGGTGGTCACCATCAGCTCAGACACACTGCTCAGGGCGAATCTTACTGTTAAGTTGCAGGGTAAAGTTTGCCACTGCAAATGAAGCATGCTTCTAGAAGTGTCATGTTTTTCTTGTTCTCATAAGGTAAAGCATTACCCGAGCTCACTATGCTGTATCATTTTCCTCTTTTTGCAAACTATTATCATCACTCAACAGCTCTCTACTATGATATTCACCACTTCTCCTTTCTGTAACTAATCCAAAGTCACCTGGGCAAGCTGGCCCATCCTGGTGATGTAAATTCCAACATCACAACCATGGACAGCAAAGGGACACACGTGCAAGGCAGGCCCCTCCCTAAATTGACAGCCCTCCATCCAACCCCATGGGCATAACACCAGCCTGGACTAAGCACGAGGGAACTGAGGACATGATAAACAGGACACTCTGCACTTACCTCATAGGCATGGGTGAAAACACAGGTGGCTCTCTGAACTCAAGGCACAAGTGGGAGAAGCAACCCTGACTTCTCATTCATTTTCATCAACAAAACCCCCCAGCAAGGAAAGGACAAAAGCTTAGAGAGGGAAGCAGAAGGTACAGAGACCAGGGAGCCATTCTAGAGCCCTATGAAATTTCCCAATTCAACAGATTTCCATTCTTTAGTGGTTATTATGTTGAAGAATACGTAGGTTTCTTCAGTCATGATATTGCTCCAAGGACACACTGTTTAAAGAGCACACATGCCCCAAGGGCTACTCTACTTTGCTCTGTCTTGGAGACAGGGCAAAGGATGCACACTCCATAGCACCAATTTCAGCCTAATCTCACAGGGGCTGAGGAAAAAGGGCTCTATCCACTGCCATTAGTGTCACAGAAAGCTGTATATAATCAATATTTTATTTTTTTTTTCCTTTCCCTTTTTTAAACAGCTCTCCTGAAACTGTAGCCTATCTGGTTCATCATGACAGTCCATGACAGCCTAAATCACTATGCATTGAGCAAAAGAAGTCAGTTGTAAAAAAAAAAAAAAAAAACTATATGCTATAGAATCCCATTTACATAAATACAAAAAGCAAGTAACTCATCTTTACTATTAGCAATCAGGACAGCACATGCCCTTGGGAAAAGCAAACCCAACCAAGCGTCCAGGGGCTGGTCATGTTCTGTCTCTTCCTCTGCTCTGGGTGCTGCTCACTGGCTTTGTAAAACCTCATCAAGCTATATGCATACGACACATACACTTTTTTATATGTCAACACATATACTTTTTTATATGTACATTGCATGTCAATAAAAGTTAGTAAGTGAAGTGGACTGAAGAAAATTCCTCCCCAGGCTCTAGCAAAAGGGAAAAGTGATCCTAACCAGACAGTAAACTACACCCACCATGTCTCTTCTTAATGGACTCTCAATTCATACAGCTAAACCACCACCCACCAATATGTTGCAAATTCAACTTAACCAAGTACTTTATTTTACCCACTGTTCTGAAATTATCCTAACAATCCCAAACTGGGACATCCTAGAGCGCCACCTTCACACAAACTCCAACTTCTTTGAAGTTCTCTACAACAACTACCTCTACCTATAATTTCATTTATAGAAGAAAAGCTTGTCAAGAAGTAAAGACCCAATTCCTCCTCCGTTTACTATTAATATTTCCCAGTGCTCTGATCTTGTGTAAATATCTATCTTCTCTAAGCTTCAGTTTCCTCATAATGTATTTCATCCAACAGAAGATGCCAAAAATTAGACATGCCCTGTTATTTTATATTCTACCAAGTACCATCAATTAAAGTATGTCATACCATCAACTGTAAGACACATACTACTTTGAGATGTGTTCAAATGTTTAAAAAGAAAAAGGTCTTCAAATTAATAAAATATGGTATGTTAAAGATGCACAGTATTTTTCATGTTTATTGACAAAGGGAATTAAAAAGACTTAACCAAAAAGATTTTAATGTAACAAATACACTTTGTGAACTCATACCAAAGCAAGGTTACTTTCCAGCATTAGGAGGATGCCAGAAGTCCAGGCCTCTGGCCCCTGGCCCCTGGCCCCTGGCCCCTAGAGGTGGTAGGAGATCCCAGGGACAGGAAATACTTTAAGAGATCTAGTCCTTCTCTCAGAAATGAAGGCTGGCGGAAGCAACCACCTCACAAATACTATCCCCAAATTCTGAGATTGTCAAGAGCTCACCTCATGCTTAGCAGTGAACAGATGGAAGACTTGTGGGCATGGCAGTGATACCAGAAATTCCAGAGGATCAACAAAAGTTCTTTTGAATAAAAAAGTACAAAATCAAACCTTATCTATGAGAAAAACCATATACTCACATCTACAGCCCAGGTCTGCCACATTCTTAATTTAAGTACCGAGTTTGTTTCTGTGGGTAAGAGGGATATCACAGAGCAGAGTGGGATAAAGAGCTCAATTTATTAATAGCTAAGGGTATCTGAAAGGGGGTAAGAAGAAATCTCCCACAGAAAGGAGTAATCAGGGAACAACGGAGAGACAACCAAATGCAAAAGTTAAAACCTGCATTTCAGTACAAAGCAATAAATAAAACATCAAAACTAAATAAAACATCAAAACTATTCAAATCAGCCTCTAATCCAAGGCAGGAAAACTATCCTGGAGCAGTGGAGTGCCAGTGTCACAAATTAAAAACAAGTTTATGAGAAAAACTAGCAACTAAGGTGATGGTCAGGTGAGATGTTCTTAAACTGAAAGAAATGGCAGCAATGAGTAAGCAACGTGTGAGCAAAGGAATTCAAAAGAGTACCCTTAAAATACTGATCCTTTTTGAGGGATGTGAGTGTCTTACACAATTTCAAAGCTAAACTTTATTTTAATGAGATCGCAAAACTGACTTTCCAGAGACTACAAATTGTCCTTTTAGCTTAACTTGTCATTATGGAAACTTTCAAACACATGCAAAAGTAGAGAATGATAGATGGCCCTTTATGTGCCCACCACTTAGCTTTAAATAAGCATTGTGCCATTCTTGTTTTATTATAAATTTTTAATCCAAGAAAGCTATCTCAAAGTGCTATTATTAAACTAAAAACAGAAAAATCTAACGGCAAAGAAACATTCGTTCTCTCCCAACATGGTAAGAACGGTCTTGCCATGTTTCATAAAGGAGAAGTCAGCTCACTGGCAGCCAATCAAGAGACCAATCACAGCCACGAAAGACTTCACACAGGCCAGAGAGCTGAAGTCTTTTTACTTTTAGTACAATTTATAATTTCTCTAGCTAATGAAAAATCCTATACTTATTATGATCTCAGTAACAACCATTATCAACATTACATTTAACTTTATTTTACTTAAAATCATACATTTACAATCGAGTCCCCCTTTACTCAAAAAGAAAAAAGAAGATGGAAATTGCCATGGGTAAACAGGCGAGACAGCAAATACTTCTTTACCAAAAGCATATCAATTTCTCTTATGTTTTCCTCATTTATTTTATGTAAGGCTAATTTAAAATCTGTTTAAAGTAGTTTGTATATTTCCCCTTAATTTGGAATCATGGTTCCAATGGTACTCCACAAAATTCCTCTAGCACTAAACACCTATGTGGCAGACGGAATGGCCATTGCTAGACATCATGGGGTTGCTGAGGACTGCAGGAGTCAGGTCCACACAAAGCAGAGAACAGGCTGGGCAGGGTCAGGTCACTCGGCACAGGTGGCACTGCACGCAGATGCAGACCAAGAAAACACAGCAACAGGAGTTATGTTGAGTCAAAAAGCTCAGGAATATAAAAAAATTATATACCTTTCTTGTCTTTAAGTTTTCAACACTGCTTTGTGAACTATATCCAAATATGTTTCCTACTGCAAAATACAACTCTATCAAAATTAACTTTTATTTCTCAAGGGTTACTACTAGCTCACTTAGCAATATTCCTTTCTGTGTTAAAGCAGAGGAAAAGCCATGGTCCACTAAAAACTCTACAAGTTTTCTTTAAACTCACATTCAATGATCATTTTATATTTCTAACATTAAAAAAATTTACTAAGATGTTGTATGAAAGAGTAGTCATATCTCTGGCATCTCATCAAAATAACTGCCAACCGGCCACTGGTTGACAGGGCGCGTGTACTGCGATGGTGGCCAGCGGCCAGGAGCTCTGCCAGGAGGGCCTCCTCGCAGGTACGCTCCAGTCGGTCCTGTTCGTAGCCGTTCCCCAACTCTTCACTCCCAACTTCACTGTTACATTTGGTGTTCTTTCCTCACAACCTGTGTCCTGAGCATTTAAAAATGGATCTTTCTTCACATTCCAGGATGACTGTTCATCTAAGTTTCTTTCCCCAAGTCACAACAAGTTACCATGAGCAATTTCCTCCTTTGTAAACTACATCCTGACTTACTAAGCACCCTAAGCCACACTTTCATGAAAAGAAAAAAGCTACCATTGGCTTCTTTTGTTTTAATCATCTCTTCTTTGTGCAAGTAAGTACATTTACATATATATTTCTGTACAATTGTGCACAGCAGATAATACAACTGACCAGGGTAATATTTTAAAGCATACATCTTTCTAGACAAGCAGAGTCATGAGTCTTGAAAATTAACAAGTTTTTCAAGAGTACTCATCAAGCAAAAATCAGGATTCAGTAAATCAGTAAGGAGCAAATCCCAAACCAGATTACAGGAACAATGGCGGGAAAGTCAAACCATCTTCTAGCTGTTTAATGCTCTGTTAACAGAGGCGTACGTACCCTTCCAGATACATCTATACTCACTCATATCCCCCAAACAGATTTGAATTTAAATAACAAAATCTCTCAAACTTACCAAACTTCGATACTGGCCCTGGAACAATTTTGAAGTCCGACTGTGTAAAGGCTGTGATCCCAGGGAGTCAAAAGACTTTATTCGATGAGATGAGGGCCGAGCACATACAGAATCACTTCCTAGTCCAATGTCTGAAAAGGTCACACAGAGACAGCTGAAACGCCTGATACTATGCACTCGCACCACACTCTAGACTTTAAAACTAGGGCAGCATGGAGGAACACACCAAGAGACCACAACAAAGCAGGCCATTTATGAAGTAAACAAAGAACAAATTCTTTGTCTGCTACATAAATAACTTGCATTATTTCCCCAATTACCTTTCTAGAAATTATTTGGAGATAACTATTAATCCATTCTTCTCTAGTATGATTTTTCAAAGTGTTTAAAATGTTTTATAACTATTTTTAATACTTTCCCCTTTACCTGAAAAAAACAGCCTCTCAAATTTGATTACATAGTGGAGAACAAGTACTCACTCTCCACTGCATCACCACCATAGGCCCACTTTTCCAAGAGTATGTGTCATGCAGTAAGCAGCAAGAATTATTTTGCAACAAAAAGAAAAGACTCTTATTCAAAACCAATAGAAAATCCTTGTGTATTTTTCAGCCAGAGAGAACCTTTTGAGGATTATTTCCTCAAAGTGAAGGCAGCACAGGCTCTACTCACCTCATGAAGCTGTTGAGAAATCAAAGGAAACAGATATTAAAAGACTTATTTATTTCCATTCTCTGATTCCCTTCATGATAAGATGCTCCACTTAGGCCAACCAACAAGTAAATAATAGCAACCCCATTCTTAGAAGTGATCAATTTTTTTAAAAAACAAAAACCAAAAGTTAGACTGTGAAAAAGTTTTCTAAAGAAACTACTATTCCAAGATACTCAGCAATGTCCTACATCTTACAGGAGCCTTCTGTGAAAGCATCCCTAATCCGATAGTCTCCAGGTCCTCTTTTTCTGGCAGATCTGTTTGGATTGGCTTACACAGTGTCCTGTAAAATTTTGAATTAATTGCCAACATCTAAAAGTCTGAAGATATCACAGAAAAATTCAGATTTCCAGGTTCTCTTGATATACTTAGGATGCAGCAACCTTGGGTCTATAGTGCTTCATGGCACAACTGGCTCAGAGATGAGCAAGGCCTGCACCAATGTCCTTGCCCTTCAGTCCAGGTCCCTCCTGTGTGCCTTCCAGCCTGGTTCCATAGACAGCAGCATGTGGGAGCCCTATCCAACAACCTTGCTATCCCAGCAGTCTTGAATACCCCCAGGTCACCCACAGCACAGTACACTTTCAAGGTCCTGCTCAGGCCTACAAGTGTCTCCACAGAGTATGTCCTACTTGAGAACACAGTGCCTTATACAACCCAAGCCCAAATCCAGCTACGAAGGACACTGCCTGCAGATGCTGCCCACAGGAGCCCCCCACATTGCTCCCCAGTGCTCTGCTGGCCCTGGCCTTAAGGAATCCTGAGGACATCCCCATCACCAGGCTATCTTCCATCCAGTTAAATGTATCCATTAATAAGTGCCTTGGAACACACATGGTTTTCTTTAAGTGACAGTAACAAGACAAGCACAGACCTTTCCCAAGAATGCCTACAGCAACTCCGGCAGCAGGCAGTCTTACTGCTGAAGTCAACCAGGTAAAATAGAACCCTAAGAAGAAATGGTCATTTCCATCACAATGACTCCTAAAACAAGATCAAGAACAAACAACCAACAAACAAAAACAAAATTTCCTTCTGAGAGGCATCACTAACAGTGTTTAAAAGCTAAAGGTACCAAGTCTATCTCACAGCTTCCAAATTGGTCTTCTTGGCAAAGAAGAATGCCACATATACTACATCCAATGCACAGCTAATGATATCAAGAATATATGAGAAATACTTTTCATAAAGTGTAGGTAAAAAAAAAAGGCCAACGAATGGTGACATATGCCCAAGAGCTACTGTCCCCCCCCTTCCATCACTACTATTTACTTGTAAATCACAGCACTTCAATCCCTGACTACTGAGGGCCATGGGACTGAGTGTATGGATTAAAGCCCTTCTCCTGTTAGTTTCTTCCTGTTAGCTCCTCTGCTTAAACTGCAGGGGGAGAAAGTGCCTTTGGTGAAGCTCAAAAGCAAGCACCCTCTGGAAAAATATTCAGCAGAGCAGAGGGGCCACATTAGGGATGACTTGTAGCTTTTATTTATCTGTGACATTCTTGTCCCTGTCTGCCACAGAGACCTGTATTGATTAGATGATTCACCACTAAAAACTTTGAGGCACAGATGAATACAAGCAACTTGCACACAGACACCCACACGGCAAGGAAACGCAAATATGCCACCCTCTGAGCATGCTCTCACAGCATTTCTTGTACTAAATTCCAGTGTAATCTACTCTAAGCATATTTCTCTTTCTATATAATCCATAACTATAATACTTTTCTTCCTTATTATCTGTTTATTCATATTTTTATAATGTAGGGCTAGAGAAGGCAGTTTTGTCTAATTCATCGCCTTTATAAAATGCCACACTCATTTGCAAAACATCATTAAATAATGCAAAAATTTTAATTATTTATATTCATCTTTATATTCCTGCCCTTTAAATATTTGTCTCCTAGATACTTTCTTACGAACAGCCTTTAAGAGATGTGCAACTTTAAACTTCAGCAGTCAAGGTATGAAAATGCGACTGCATCAAACCTCTGCCTGGGGTCTCTGCCTGCTCCCAGCTGTGGGAGCCAGCACGCCTCACTCAGGACACTAGCGGCAAGCCAGCTCCCAGATGGCGGTCACAGCAGGTGTGTGCAGGGAGGTGGTGCCAAGGAAGGTCCCTGCACCAGAGAGAGGAACTTTAGCCCAAAGGGCTCCCAACTCCAGCCCTTCCTCCACATGCAGGGAGTCAAGTACACCCTGTCTGAAGGGGCAGCCAAGACTGAAAAGAAACCTTGACAAATTAAACTTAAGAGGTTTCTATATGAAAAGGACATCTCACTTTCCCCCACAAATCTGAAACTTAAAATCTGTAAAGATAATTAAAAAAAAAAAAAAGTTACTTTAAATAAAAGAGCAACTCAAGTCCCTCTTGTTTGAGCCATATAGTGATCCAAGACATAAGTCCTCAGGGTTCAAGGGAGGGTGTGGGCCTTCTCTCTGGGACCTCATACAGACAATTCCCGTCCTTCTGTCCTCACCATGGTCTGAGAGCCCACGAGAGGGGCACACCGTGTCCCTACCTCCTCTCTACTTCAGGAACAACTGGGACTAGACCACGTGAACCACATGCCTAGGCACGTAGGGGTTCACTGTGGATGCCAATCCACTGGCCACACCCATGGCTACTGCTCAGAAACACACTGCTCACTAGATATGAGCTTCAGGCAACATGAACTCATAAAAACCCAGAGAAAAGTGCTGTTAACTCCAAGACAGCCCCCCAGCCTTCCTATACTGACTAACATTTTTCTTCTGTTATACCTTCAGGTGAGAAACCTCCCCACCCACAGAAAAGAAAACACCTCATAGCCACCAGAGGACCTGAAAGGGAAAATTCTGTTCTAGTAAAGAAAAAAATCACAGCAAAAAGAATAATCAAAATATAATGTGACAGAGGCCTATTTTTTGTTTATTTTTTTTAGAAGTTTATTTTTTTTATCATCGATAATGTTCATTTGGCCTTGCTAACAAAAAGCCAGTGATTTCTGCCCTTTTTTTCCCCACCCCCTCCAGTTCAACAAAAAAAGAATCTTACCTGCTGTTACTTTATTTAGAGTCACTAAGGAACTGAGGACCTTGTTAAAATTCTGCCCCTGGTACAAATCATTTGCATCAAAAGTCTGAAAGGAAAAATTAAACAAGCAAAATTAGTAGAGTCTTACGTTGGGTGCAGGATTAACTAACCTCTCCCCGCAAAGTGAGGACATTCTGCCTGAAATCATAAAGAGGTGGCACCACCCTCAAGAGTGAGGCCAGTGAGCTCAGCTCCCAGGTCCTGGGGTAAGGAGTGGAATCAGAAGTCCCCTTCTCAGGTGCACTCAATCCCTGGACCCCAGCCCTGCCCCACCTCACCTTCACACCCTGAGGTGTGAGCTCTGTCACAGATGAGTGCTGCTGGTGCTAGGAAATCTCAGTGGTGGTTTTGCCACCCTTAGATTAATGGAGAAAACAGAGGTTCTCTCCTAGTCACAGAAAAGAAGGCAACCTGACAGTCAATACCAAAGCTAACTACAGCAAAAGAAAAACATGGTCATCTGGGAGCACAATGGATATGAGAGTAAAAGGAAGGAAGGCAGGAGAAGCAGATCCCAGAAGAGGAGCAGGGTGAGGATGGGGCAGCCACCTCCAGCACTGAGCTGAGGCCAGGACCAGGCCCATTTGAGACCACATCCCCTCCAGTCTGGCACAGCTAGAGACAGCTAGAGCCACAGTCAGTCACACTACCCATCCTGGCTGGGAAAGATAAAGTGCACTAGTTTGCCTCAATACACGAGAGCACATATACAAATGTATCAAAACACACACAGCTCTCATCTCTGATACTGTTTTAAGACTACATATAGCTTAGCTTCTGATCACCAAATAACTTCAAGCAAAAATAAATTTAATAGTCAAATCATCCACAACTCTGTCCCAGAAAAACTGGGAAAACATTTCTTTCAGAAGTGCAAATAACAGTCATATTTAGATAGCAAAATGTCTATTATGTTAACATACTTTCTCTGAGGTCACCCCAGGAATGAGGATCAGAGGGCAAGGGCCCTCCTTCTCTCCAGTTCTGTCACCTCTGCCCTCATCCTGTGCTCCTCTCACCAGAGGCTGCCAGGAACTCCCTTCTCCTTCTCTTCCTGCCCCCAGCCCCCACCCCCTTCCTGGCTAACACTTACTCATCTCACTTCCTGACAGAACCGTGCACAGCCTTGCTGCCCCCTCCAGATCTGCTCAAGTCCCCAACCAGACTCCCCCAGAACATTTATCACAATATTTCACTGGCTGATGTCTGTACACCTCCCTAGACTGAAAGACATACAAAGGTAGACTACGTATTTCCCAACACCTAGTAAGATGTCAGCACACAGAAAAACTCAAGGTATGAATGGATAAATGCACCAAACCATCCAACTATCCACTCTGTGGGTGCTTAATGTTACTGTGAGTGAAGTTCACATCAAGAGATGCTAAGTAAAATGATTCCAAATCTGAATAAGCCCCATGTATTATTCAAAAGTCCCTTCTACTTAATGGTCTTATGCCTACAATTTTTGAAATAATGAGTAAAAATAGTCACGAGATATATTTAAACATAAATAAATAAAAAAAAAAATCTAGAAGTTGAAAAACTACCTCAAGAAGGAAAACACCAAATCACTGAGAGTCAAGAAAGGAGCTAAAAATTACAATTTACTTTTTAAAAGTTCACAAGAAAATATTAAATGAAAACATAAAACTTAAAAAGATGTGAATACATGTGAGCATTATACATGTTTATTAACGCCACTTCTAATAAAAAGTACAAAATGTAAATGATTTCATCAAGCGAGATCCTTCCTGTAAAAAATACTCCTTAGAACAGTCTTTTTTTTTTTTTTTTTTTTTGGATTCATCAGAGGAGAGTAAGAACAGTCTTTAGGACCACCTTTAACACAGAATTTAAATCATTTGTTGTAATAAATATTATTTAAAAAGAAATTCCAACTCAAATGAGAGCATTACCCATGGTGAAATATCCATCTACATCTTTAAATGATAAATATGAGTTAAGCTGCATTTAAAAATATATAAAAGTATTAACATTAATATACAAAGCTTCCTTTATGCAAAACATAAAACTTCCCTTAACTGTAAAATATTTAAGTAGGTGATCTGAATGTCTTTAAGCTCTAAAGATCTAACTCTAGAGGCTGGAGTTAGATGGTATTCTCCGAAAAGAAATACACATATAAATTTCTACTAACCTTCATTGTGGCGAGGCAGTAAGTCACAAAACCCAGAACAACAGGATGTTAAAAACTTGAAGTTTCCTGTTATTCCAGAACTATATATCTTTCTTACTTGGATACCAAGGAGCATCTGATTGGCTGAAAGTGACCACCAATGGGGCTTCAATATGACATCAGAATTTAAGTGAACACACACACACCCCCATTTCTCAACAGGAAACTCAACAATGGGATGAGACAAATGCTTGCCACTGAGTGGGGGAAATGCACATTCAAAGCCAATAAAATGTTTTGACTAACGTACTTCTCCAGAGAAAGATAGCAGACTATTCCTGAAATAGGAATCAAAGCAAAAACAGAAAAATCTTAGTATAAGGAAAGTTTATACTACGGCAGTAAGAGGAAAGTCTCAGAACTTTTATAGAAATCTCTCTGCAAAAATAATTACCATAACATTTAACACACTAAATTGTTCCCCAGGGCTACTTGGTGCTTCAAAGAAGACAAATGCAGTTCCAACAGGACTTGGCCTACTCTACCACCTGAAATGCTGGGCATTCTGAAAATCAGCAGATTTCCACTCTTAGCAAAAGCCAGAGGAGGGAAGGAAGCAACAACCACCATCCACTCTCCCCAAACCCTACTTCAGGTGGCACCTGGAGCAGTGGTTTTCAGTATGAGCTGCACGTTAGGACCTCCTGGGGGACTTTACCTGGGCAAGATACTCAAGCCATGTCTCAGAATCTCTAAGGGAGGGACCCCAAAACCAGAATTTTAACCCTATCCACACAAGTCCAATGTGCAGCAGAGGGTGAGAAGTGCCTCCCTCTCACTGTTGAGTCCTGCTGGGGGCAGGCTCAGCGCCAGCACATACACACTTCCCACTGCCTGTGAACACTCCCATACTAGCACAGTGCTGTGAGAGAGGGTGGCCACACAGACACAGGGGACACTCAACACCTGATACATTTTAGAATCTATCCATTTGGGAAAGTGTATTACACTCAGCCTTACTTTTACATTTAACTGAATTAAATGTGCAAAAGAATATTCTCACAGTCCCAAAATAAAAATTATCCTAGTTTTCTACTAAAAAGCTCATAATATTAAGCTTACTATTTGTAGATTAGTTTTCATATTTACTTTCAATAGAAACAATACTACATAATGAAATACAACAAATACCAAACCACATAGAAGCCAGTGATAAAAGAAACCCAGAACATTCAAAGTATGATACAAAAGTACTTTCTAAAATGTTCCTACTGTCCCTTGCAAAGGCCGAACCAACAGAGAATGGCTGCTGGGGGCAGGAGGCAGCAGGCAGCATGGTCCTGGGAAGTGGGTAGAGTCCCTGAGGGTGTGCTCTCCCCACTGCCTCACAGCCCCCCTGCACAGTGTTGAGCCCGCAACCCTCTCGACATGAAACAGAGGCAAGTCAGACAGTGAGGACAGTGTGACATAGGAAGCAGACCAGCAAATGCCTCACACCTTTCAAAAAGTAAAGGGCACCATGCCCCAAGGTCTCCTGACAAAACTGACCCACAGATAACTATGTTCTGCCAAGGAAAACTCTTATTTTTTAAAATACAAAATAATCACCAAGAGGAAAGAAAGTCCTCAATTTTGCTGAACACAGAGAAAAATCATCTATGTCCATACAAGTCAACCTTCTCATTTTATTTTATTTTTTTATTTTATTTTATTTATTTATTTTTTGAGACAGTCTCACTCTGTTGCCTGGGTTATAGTGCTGTGGCATCAGCCTAGCTCACAGCAACCTCAAACTCCTGGGCTCTAGTGATCCTCCTGACTCACCCTCCAGAGTAGCTGGGACTACAGGCATGCGCCACCATGCCCAGCTAATTTTTTCTATATATTTTTAGTTGTCCAGCTAATTTCTTTCTGTTTTTAGTAGAGACGGGATCTTGCTCTTGCTCAGGCTGGTCTTGAACTTCTAATCTTAAGCAATCCTCCTGCCTCAGCCTCCAGAGTAGCTGGGACTACAGGCATGCACCACCATGCCCGGCTAATTTTTTCTATATATTTTTAGTTATCCAGCCAATTTCTTTCTATTTTTAGTAGAGACAGGATCTCGCTCTTGCTCAGGCTGGTCTCGAACTCCTGATCTTAAAGCAATCCTCCTGCCTCAGCCTCCCAGAGTGCTGGGATTACATGTGTGAGCACCCGGCCAACCCTCTCATTTTAGACATAAAAATGAAGCACAAAAGTATAATGGCTTTTTTAACTCTCTTCTAAATTACTAAAACTGAGATTCTTGACTGTTAATCCCTTTAATAAAAAATTAAAGTACATCTGTTAGACTCCATGTCTTTTGCACAGCTTTGCAAAAACTGCTTCTTAGGAACCTGAACTGCAGCTGGTATTGTTTAGGAAAAATATCTTGCCTTCTAGAAATGAAATATACAGCCCATATACCATGCAATTTGGGTATAAAATAAACAAAAAAAGGCTAGCAGAAGGTTACAAACTACAGAAGAAAGAAGTGAGACACGGGGAAACTATCACAGAAAGATTTCTGCAGTGGTCAGAGGCCATGAGCAATGGAGAAAGGATCTGGACCGCAGGGACCAGGTGAGAGCGGGAGACCTGGATGCCCAATGGCAGACAGACCAACCAGACCAAAAAGCCCAAGAATCTGGTTCTAGGCCTAGAAGACCTTGGCATCCATGAGCACTAAGGGCATCACTTCTTGATTGACATTTGAGCATCATTAATATTTAAAACTATGGGAAATCCCTATCCTGACCAGAGCATGAAAAAATGTCTTCAGAATCTCATTCCGGCTCTCCTTATTGTGTCTTCGCTGAACAAGCAGCTATAAAAGCCAGACACTAAGTCCCACCCACAGATCTGGGCCAAGGAAAACAAGGCTGTTC